TGCATAATATGTATAATTTATTAATTAAGTATCATATATTTAAAATATGAAAAATATGAAAAAAGCTAAAACTGTAATTATATTGGGCTGTACATACAAAGTACACAAACTATACTGTAGTTACTGTTGTCATTTTTATTTAGCTTGATTTTTATATTATTATATCATGCTCTGCTTTTGGTTTTAATAAGAAAATATAAAAATTGTTTGGAATTAAAACAGTACATCAGTACAAATGAACGCAGTACATCAAATATGATAAGATTGTATTTTGAAATATATTAGAAAAATACTGTTTCAAAAAAAAAAAAAAACGTTCAGTGATTTTTATAATATTTCAAATTATCAAAATAAATGTATACAGTGCTCAGCATGAGTACACCCCATTTTAAAAATTTATATTTTGATCCATTTCTCAGTAAATATTGGTCATATATTTTTGTGAATTTGAACAAAACAGATTTATTAAGGAGATATATTCATTAAAGTAATATTTTAGTCTCCAAACATATTTAGTAATAGAAGGATAATACATTTACTTGCGTGTGAAATATTGCAAAAAAAAATTAAAATAAAATAAAAACTACAACATTTCAACAAAATTGTATATATATTCTTGATTTTTCCTTTTACGTTTTTTATTTATTATTTTATCCAACATACAGCATAAATTTGGGTATACTCGTTTTTGGACTATTTTCTTCAGTTATTTTGATAGATTAGCTGCAGATTTGGCTTCAGTACTGACTAATCTAATGTATATGCACAAATATAATATTGTAAATCATCCCGCAGTAAATATTAATTTAATAGAGAGATTTGTGAGGAGTGTACTTATTTATGCTGAACACAGAGATGTGTAAAGTACTAGAGACCAAGACTTAAGTAAAAGTACAAGTGCCCTATCAAAAATTGACTTGAGTAGAAGTTGAAGTGCTCTTTAAGCACCATACTTAAGTGGAAGTACTACAGTATTCAACATTTTTTGTACTTAAGTATTAAAAAATTTACTACTGAAGTACTGAAAGTAAAAGTACAAGTATTGTGTAATGTAGTTATTAAAGAAAGCAGTCAAAAGACATCATATTGATTTGTTAATTTTAAATATCTTTTTTGGGGCACGTGATTAACCAGAACAAAAAGAAACATGGCTTATGATACTGTTTTTCTCTCACGCTTGAACCACAGATCTGACAGATTATAATGGCTTTAACACACACCTTTCAAAGTTGCGTGTCACAAAAACACTCCGTAATCCACTCAAAGTGCTTTTGAAACCCAAGCAAATTACCGGTTGTAAACGCTGTAAACAGTAGTTCTAAACATTTTACCGGAAGACGCTAGTCGCTATGGCGGCCTCCATGCAGCAGCCAAGAAAAAGGTCTATAATTGTATTGAGTAGCGGTGTGAACCTACACAGGTCTCACGGTTTGGTTCGGTTACGATTATCATGCCATCGATTTGGTTCAATTCGATATTTCTGTGCATTGACGATGCTTTCCATACATAATTAAATTTTTTCTTCACAACAAAAGAATTTTTTTTTTTATTAAAATTTATAAAAAATATTTATATTTTTATATTATTTGTAATACAATTTTGTTCTTTAATACAGCAGTAAGAGATATGAACTCAATATATGATTCTCAACTTTGTTGCGTCGCTCAAAACAGCCACCTGGTCGCCAATGGTCACTGTCGATCGCGTAGACAGAGGTCTCCAGAACAATTGCTTGAAGCTTTGCCACTGCAAGTCGCTTGAAGTGTGAATAAGGCTTAAAGGATTCTAAACTCTGTCGTGTCACTCGACACACCCTCCTTTTCACCAACAAAGGTAGACAGAGGTCGCCAGAAGTGGCTCATTCTCCTTTGAAATGAACAGTCACTTGTTGCTTTGTGTCTGTGATTCCAGGATTATATTTGATGAACTTTTATCCATTTGTTTTGTAAGAAACATGACATTCCCATTTAAAGTTACAGTCAAAATTATTCTTTCTTCTGCGAAATTTCTCGAGTGCTGAAGACTTTAAAAATAATACTTTTAACGGATAATATTTCATATTTCACTATTGCAAGATACCAGTATTCAGCTTAAAGTGCAAGATGAATGCTTATCTAGGTTGATTAGGTCCGGTTAATTGAGCAAGTCAGTGGACAACAGGGGTTTGTTCTGTAGCCAATCAAGATAATTATTTCTTAATAATATTGACCTTAAAATAGTTTTAAACAAAATTAAAACGGTTTAATTTCAGACAAACTAAACGAAAAAAGACGTTCTACAGAAGAAAATGTATAATAAGAAATAGAGTAAAAAATTCCTTGCTCTGTTAAACAGCACTCGGAAAAAAATTTTATTAAAAAAAAGAGCTTTGGTAGTAGGCAGTGCTGTCGCCTCACAGCAAGAAGGTCGCTGGGTCGAGCCTCGGCTGGGTCAGTTGGCGTTCCTGTGTTGAGTGTGCATGTTCTCCCTGCGTTTGCGTAGGTTTCCTCCGGGTGCTCCGGTTTCCCCCATAGTCCAAAGACATGCGGTACAGGTGAATTGGGTAGGCTAAATTGTCCGTAGTGTATGACTGTGTGTGTGAATGAGAATGTGTGCATGTTTCCCAGAGATGGGTTGCGGCTGGAAGGGCATCTGCTGCGTAAAAACGTGCTGGATAAGTTGGCGGTTCATTCCGCTGTGGCGACCCCGGATTAATAAAGCGAATAAGCCGAAAAGAAAATGAATGAATTAGCTTTGAATAGTTAGCATTGGGACTCTAAAAAATAAAATAATAGCTTTGCCTGTACAGTAGTTATTTGTTTAAGCAAATATTTACACCCTCAAGGTCTTAATAAAGGACCCAGCAGCAGTGTTGACCTCTGTGACCGTTCAAACAGCCACTCACTCAATCTAAGGATCCTGGGATTGACGCAAACAGATCTTTAACTGCTAATAGCATTGACCTCCGTCTGCAGCAGTGAATATGCTTTAGGCTCCATTAGGCTGATCCAAGACCAATTGTGCCATTTTCCCTCTACAAGGACTTCATTTAGGGATTGTGTGGAAAAGCTGGATCAGCGTCTGACACGGAAAGACTGCATAATGTGTCACTATGGCTCCGTGAGCAAAACAGAGGAGTCAGACATTTTTTTTGGAGAGAATAAAACACATGGAGATGATTATTCATCAGACATGTACCATGCTTTCCAGGCAATTATGTACTGCAATCAAAACACTTTTCCATTCCTATACTTTGTTTTAAAGACAAGAGTGTTAACTTGATTATATTTATATTTAGTTAAAATTAACATGGTATTAAATAACTAGAGGTGGGAATCTTTAGGGACTTCACGATCCAATCGGATTCTAATTCTGGGGCTCACAATTCAATCCGATTTGACTCCACTACTAGGGGTCACAATCCGATTCCAATTCTGGGGGTCACGATAAGATCAGATTCTACAGGGCAAGATACATTCCGATTGTGATTTTTGGGGTCACGATCTAATCAGATTCAAATGCTGGGGGTCACGATACAATCTGATTCTGGCGGTCACGATACGATACAATTCTGGGGGAAACAAAATGATGCAATTTAGATAATGCGTGATATTAAACGATCTAATTTGATTTCAATACTGGGGGTCACAATCCGATTCCAATTCTAAAGGGGTCACTATCTGATCCGATTCTGATTCTGGGAGTTATAATACAATCTAATTCGACTCTATTGTGATTCTGGTGGTCACAAACCGATTCCAATTCTGGGGACCATGATGAGATCCGATTACATTCAGATTGCGATTTTTGGGGTCACGATCTAATCCGATTCAGATTTTGGGGGTCACGATACAATTTGATTCTGGGGGTCAAGATACGATACGATTCTGAAGGTAACAAAACGATAAGATATGGATTATGTGGCTCATAAAATGATATGATTATATTCCGATAATGGGGGTCACAATCCGATTCCAATTCTAAGGGGTTCACGATCTGATCCGGTTCTGATTCTGGGAGTCATAATCTGATTTCAATTCTGGGTATCGAAACGATACGATTTAGATTGTGCTGGTCAAGATACAACTCGATTTCGTTTCCGGGGTTTACAATATGATCCGATTACGATTCTGTGGGTCATGATGCAATATGATTCCGGGGGTCACAATATTATCTGATTTTGATTTTGGGGGTCACAATATGATACAATCCGATTCTAGGGGTCACGATACTATCGGATTCTGCGGTTTACAATGCAATCCAGTTCAGATTATGGGGGTCATGATAACATCCAATTCCAATTCTAGGGGTCATAATACGATCTGATTCTGATTCTGGGGGTCAGGATACATTCCGATTCCAATTCTGGGGGTTATAATATGATCCCATTCCGATTCTGGGGTCATAATAGGACTCGATTCAGATTCTAGGGGTCACGATACATTCCGATTCCAATTCTGGGGCTCACAATAAGATCCAATTCCAATTCTGCAGGTCACAATACGAACCAATTCGATTATGATTCTGAGGGTCACGATACAATCCAATTATGATTCTGTGGGTCAGGATCCGATTCAATTCTGAATCACAATAAGATTTGTAAATTACATAAACACAATTTTTATTTTACAGATTTACTTACTTAAAGTTTGACTATATTCTGTTTTGTTAATCTACTCTCAAATTATTTAAAGATATATGAAAAATCTAGAAGACACAAGTTTGGTTTTCAGTCTTTGTTCAATCAGTCTTTCATTATGTTTTGGCCAATCATTTTTATCTCAGTGCATTCCTATAAAACAATGTTATGTTTCAGTTTTTCCTGTGTGTATAAATTCACAATGCAACATTATAATAATTTAAGGTACATTTAGTACAGATCAAATTTCAAAATCACAAGCTGACGCATGGCAATCATACGATTACTAGCACTAAAATATATGAATCGATTGACAGCCCTAATTTTAAGGTTTGCCATAGATTAGATCTCAACACTTCTGCGAGTAAAAGCCCTACTTTACCTTGTTTCCTCAATATAGACTGATTCCAGAACAGTGGCAGCATATTCCAGGTTTTTCTTCAGGTCTACAAGGGATGCCTCTCCTCTCTCCAACTGCTTTACCAAACATCGCAATCTGGAACACAAGCACATGTACATACATTAATCCAAAAAACAAGCTGTTTATTTTATAAAGCAATTATCTGAGACGTCAGCATGACAAATGCAGCGTTATATTCAGAAAAACAAAGATCAATAATAAATTAAGACATAAATCCTGAAGCTAATGTGTATATGCACAGCTTTGGGACCAATTTAAAATGTTCCTGTGGATTTAGAATTTATATGTGAATGAGTAAAAAATGGGCAGCAAGAAGATCACTGGTTTGAACGCCGGCTGGCTAAATTGGCCTTAGCTAAATTGACCTTAGTGTATGACTGTGTGTGTGTGTGTGTGTGTGTGTGTGTGTGTGTGTGTGTGTGAGAACGTAAGAGTGTATGGGTGTTTTGCCAGTACTGGGTTGCGGCTGGAAGGGCATTCGCTGCGTAAAACATAAGGCGGAATAGTTAGCAGTTCATTCTGCTGTGGTGATCTCTGATAAATAAGGGACTAAGTAGAAGGAAAATGAATGAATAAGTACAACATCATCTTAGTTTGAATCTGTAAATATGACAATTCTTCCAAATTTAAAATAAAAATAATGTCATAAAATAACCTTTTCACTTGTTTATATATATTTTTTAGACAACACAATACTTATGTTTCACCTTTATTGTTCAAGAGATTAATATTTCAAGACTTTCAACCGCAGCAAATGAAAATATTTCTGACCCACTCCCATTTTCTGGTTAAAAAAAACTCTAAATTACCTAAATTACATTATTTTCATTTGAAATATGCGTTAAATGGTCTCAGACCTACACGGAATAAACCAAATATTAATATTTTACTCAAGCTCATATCTAACAAATCCAGTACATTTACAGAACATCTGAATTTTCAAGTGGTCTCTTCATTTTTTCTGAAGATGTACTTACAAATTTGGGATTAATACAATTTTTTCCTCAAACAATTAATCATTTTATTCAGCAAGGATGCCACAATTTACATTAAAACACTCAAAAGCCATTGATAATAGTACACTATTTCTGTTTCAGACAAAGCGTAAACAAACGTATCAAAATATTAAGCAGCTCAATTTGTATTTGCATTAAATCAGTGTCATATGACCAACCCAGGCTCATCCTGATTACGCACCTCTATATACATTTCTGAAGAGAGCAAAATACGTCCCAAGAGCTACTTTTTTTTTGCAATTTTTGTTTTCCTGAATCCACCAGAGGCTGCTGTGTATGATTGTTCAGATATCAAATTTCTCTCGCGAATGCCATCCGTGCCTGCTCTTCTCGCTTAAATCTCTTGGCTTTTGTCGACTGACTGACCGACCAATTGACTGACCCACCAGCCTCGTTCCCTAAAACCAATTAATAGGGTTTTCGAAAGCAATCCAGTAAAATAAAAGCCCTCGAGGCAACCTGATTTTTACGACATTTTCAGAGATTACCACATTTTTACCTTGTTATTAACTTGTTTTTTTTGTTTGTTTCTTTGTTTGTTTGTTTTTTTTTTTTTGTTTTTTTTGCTTCTGTTATGTCTTATCTGCTTTCTGGAACCCTTCTTCACCAAACAAGAACTCCGTCATTGCGGTCAACTCTGCTCTGCGTCTTAAGTCCACAGACAGCTACTGAGTAAACTGGTAACAGTGGAAAAGCCGTCCACACGAAAGTATGTAGTCAGCTGGTAGCACAAAAAAAGAGAAGCCGTTGACATCGTCAAACTGCCCTGTAGCATTCATTTTAAAAACATAATACAGCCATACAGTACTTAGCTCTGGTTACATAATTTGTGCTCTTCAGAAATGTATACAGGGGTACTTTTTCACAACGAGCCTGTGTTGCAACCTGGGATTAATACTATTTTTTCCTTAAATAATTACTACTTTTATTGAGCAAGGATGGCGCAAATTAAATTAAAACACTCAAAAGTCATTGATAATACTGAATTATTTCTATCCAGACAAAGACTGTTCAATGATACCTAAACAAGCGTATCAAGGCTTCCATAAAAATATGAATTAGCAGTTTTTAATTTTCTATAGCATTAAATTAGTAACATAAGACACTGAAGACTAATGTAATGATACAAAATTCAACTATCTAGACCTATTAAGATTATAATCTTTTTGCCTTGATGAGTGTTACGAAAGCAGACACTGGACAGCAGACGTGTGGACCCACATGCAGTTTATTAGAAAGAAGTTATAAAGGCAATGGTCAAAACAGGAGCAAACAGATGCATAAGGGTGATAAAAAAAAATATGGTCAAAAACAGGTAAAAGTACAGGACAGGCGGCAAAGAATCGGTAATAAAAACAATAAGCAATGCAATGGGTCGAAAACTCAGCAAAAGAGACGTGATAAAATTATTTATAATGCTTACAGATAAACAGGACTCAGCCATGTGTATGTAAAAGTGATGTGTATGAATAGTCCATGAAGTCAGTAAGGATGAACAACAGCTATGTGTGTGTGTGTGTGTGTGTGTGTGTGTGTGTGTGTGTGTGTGTGTGTGTGTGTGTGTGTGTGTGTGTGTGTGTGTGTGTGTGTGTGTGTGTGTGCCAATGTCCAGATTATTGTCAGCTGTGGTGGGAGTTGATGAGTGCAAAGGGTTTTGGGAGTTGTAGTTCAGTTCAGTGGCTAAGTTGTATTTCTCCAGCAATCTGCAAACATTAGAATGCTGTGATTGTGACAATGAGCATAAGATACTTTTAAAAAATTGTACTCACTATAAACTTTTGAAGTGTTATAAACTCAAACTCTTGATTATGCTGTAATGAATGAAATCTAGTTGTGGATGTTCAGAAGTGTCTGCTTAATTAATTAAAGCTTTTAAGGCTGATTGATTAAATGAAGTGGTTAGTCTTATCAAATCCATCTTCGATATCTCTCTCTACTAGGAAAGACTTTCAATGCTTCCCGGTTCTTGATGTGGCTGATAAAACAATTAGACTGTCTGGGAAAATTCTAATGGATGGAAAGAAAAAAAAACAGCTCTATCTGGTGAAATTATTTGCTTAAAAAAAGTTACATTTTTCTCACTATTTACTCCTCAAGTAGTTTCAAACCTTTGTAAGTTTCTTTTATCTGCTGAAAAAAAAAGATATTCTGAAGAAAGCTGAAAACCAGTAATCATTGACTTTCATAGAAAACACAAATACTGAAAGTCTATGGTTACCAGTTTTCAACATTTTTCAAAATATCTTCTTTTGTGTTCGGCTGAAAAAAAAAGCTCTGACTGGTTCAAAACAAAGTGAAGGGTGAGTAAATGATGCCAGAATTTTCATGTTTGAGTAAACTATCCCTTTAAGCAGCATTTGCTGGATAAACACCCAGTGACAAATGACTTTGTAAATTACAGTCCTGGAGTCACAACATGACAGATCAGATTACCGAAATGACACAATGAGGTTTATTGATGGGTGCTAAAGGTCACAGATTGAATCCATCTATTGGTTTCAGTGTGGCAGTGTGCATTGCTCACAGATCTGCAGCTGATTAGATGTTAATCTGCAGTTAAAACATTACAGCCAAACTGCAGTGATTTGGTCTGTTATTGTAGATCTGATCCGATTCACCTAATTTTTAAAGCCACACTACTTTATGTACAATTGTTGCATTAGAATATTCAGAAACCACTAGAACTGTGGTATATTTTGCTGACTCTAACCCCAAATCAGAAAAAGTTGGGACAGTATGGAAAACGCAAATAAAAAAAAGAAAGTAGTGATTTCTGAATTTACCTTGACTTGTATTTCATAGCAGACAAAACAACAAACATTATTTATTATTATTTGATTTTTATAGTTGTTGTTTTTTTAATAAACATATGCCAATTTTGGTTCTTGCAACACATTTTAAAAAGTTGAAACAGTGAAGCATTTACCTCTTTGTAATGTTGCTGTTGCTTTTTACAACACTTAAAAAACATTTAGGGACTGAATACACCAAATGATGAATTGTTTCAGGTGTAATTTTGTCCCATTCATCCAGCAAACAAGTCTTAAGGTGGACAACAGTATATGGGGTCTTCTTTGGTGCATTTTGCTCTTCAAAATGCAGCAAACATTCTCTATTGGAGACAGGTCGGGACTGCAGGCAGGCCTGTCAAGTACCTGTTTCCTGTATCCTCTTCCTCCACAGCCAGGACGTTTTTTTTTTAACAGTATGTCTCATTATATTTGTCTTCTGAAGAAAGTTTTATATATTTTAGTTTAACTGGAATTAAAAAATATAAATATTTTAAAACATATTTAAAAATAATTTAGATTATTTAGGCAATAATTAACTTGATTAAGTTGTTATATTGCACTTTAAGCTGAATAGCATCTTGCAAAATAACTTCAAGTATTATGTACTGTCATCATGGAAAAGACGAAATAAAGTAATTATTAAAATAGTATTTAGAAAATGTCCATGTTTGTTGTCTGTTAAACAGCACTTGGAAAATATTTTTACAAACAATTAATAATTCACAGGAGAGCTCATACTTTTGTCTTCAACTGGACAGTCAATTTGTTGACATTTGTGTGTTAGATTTGAGTCTAAATGTGGCAGTACAGCGACACAAAATCCATCTGCATCCCTCAAGTGTCCAGTGACACAGGTAATGTTTTCTGCCATGATTTCAGCAGTAGGGATGTGGGCAGCTGTCAGAAATACAGACACTCTGCAACAGTCTGCCATTGATGCTCAGGGGTCAATGCAATCACACACCAAGATTAACATCCTCCACTCAATATTTTGACAGGTGCCTGCAGGTAAAAAGAAAAACTCATACAGCTCTGTCTGTCCTGATACCTGATCTCAAATCAGTCTCAAATTATCAGCTAAGTTCGCATCAGCTGTATACTGTAGTTATACCTTTTTTGTCAGCTGAAATAATACAAATAATAACATCAAGTAAAAACATTAATGTTATTTCAGATATTTACTACAGAAATACTTGTTATTTTTAACCAATTAAAAGTCTTATTAGAATGCTTCGGCATATACCCTATTAACTTGTTTTGCACTCAC